ATCCCTGGAAGTGTCCAAGGCCAGGTTGGACGGGGCTTGGAGCAACCTGGGCTAGTGGAAGGTGTCCCTGCCCGTGGCAGGGGAGCTGGACCAAGATGATCCTTAAAATCCCCTCCAGCCGAAGCCATTCAATTGTTGCACATTTCTGCGATTTTACACGGAGAAAAAGGAAGCAAAACGTTTATTTCTGCCTCTCGGGGGGGGTGTGACGGGCATTTGCCACTCCCCTCCCCGGCCCCCCAAGGCCAGGTTGCACCTCGGTGTGCTTGGGAGGAGGCTGTTTGCTTTGGGAATCGTGGAATCACAGACTGGATTAAGGAAGGGACCTTAAATCCCATCCAGTTCCACCCCCCGCCGTGGGCAGGGACACCTTCCACCGGGAGCTCGGGTTGCTCCAAGCCCCCCGTCCAGGGGATCTCCCCCTCTGCGGTTCTGGGCTGCCCCCTCCTGACGCCCGGGAGTGGCCTGTGAATGTCAGCAGGGCCCGTTCGGTGTCGGTGACTCTGAAAAGGCTCGGGGAGCAAAATCCCGTGCAGGAAAAGTCCGTGTTTGAATGGAGCACAGAAGGAACAAATAACAGTGGGTTCAGAGACTGGGGCAATTCCGACTGTGGGTAGGGCTGTTTCTCCAGGTAACCCCCAAAGGTCTCGTGTTTGGGCAGCGTGTTTGCAGCCTGCCACTGACAGAAAGATCTGCCTGTAAGTGACGTGTTGCCTGGAAGTCATATCCTGCTCCAGGGAGGTTTTGCTTTTATTTTTTTTTGGGAGGGGGGGAAGGAATTTGGTCCTCACACTGCGGCACGGAGGACGCGTCTGTTCATTTAAAACAAAAATGCTGGTTTCTTCCCCAAATACACAGAAACACAGAGTGTTCTGAGCTGGGAGGGCACCCACAGGGATCACCCAGTCCAGGAACCCACAGGGACCATCCAGTCCAGGAACCCACAGGGACCATCCAGTCCAGGAACCCACAGGGGTCACCCAGTCCAGGAACCCACAGGGGTCACCCAGTCCAGGAACCCACAGGGAGTCACCCAGTCCAGGAACCCACAGGGACCATCCAGTCCAGGAACCCACAGGGATCATCCAGTCCAGCTCCTGGCCCTGACCAGGACACCCCAACAATCCTGCCCTGTGCCCCAGAGGATCATCCAAAGGCTCCTTTAGCTCTGTCAGCCTTGGGGCTGTGCCCACTGCCCTGGGGAGCCTGTTCAGTGCCCAACCACCCTCTGGGGGAAGAACCTTCTCCTGAGATCCAACCTAACCCTGCCCTCACACAACTCCAGGCCATTCCCGGGGTCCTGTCCCTGCTCAGCAGAGCACAGAAATCGATGCCTGACATGGAGCAGCTCAAAAATCTCTCTTCCAGGCGCCACAGCAGCACCCCCAGGATGTCCATGGAGATAACTTTCCTGGGCACGGGCTCGGCATACCCCTCTCCCACCAGAGGGGCGTCGGCGCTGGTGCTTCGCCGGGAAGGGGAGTGCTGGCTCTTCGACTGCGGGGAGGGGACCCAGACACAGCTCATGAGGAGCCACCTCAGGGCAGGTCTGTGCTGCCGAAAGGCGGGTTTGGTTTTGTGTTTTTTTTTGGTGAGGGGGAGAAGTTTGGAGCGACCCGAACGAAATGCCTCGTCCTCGAGGTGTTTGAACACAGGCCAAGTGTCTGAAGTGCGTCTGAAGGGGCTGAACCTGCTGGGCGGCGACCACAACCCGTGCTCCAGAACCAGACCCTCCTGCATTGACTGCTGGGGCTCTGTGATTCCAAGGGTGGGCCCACGGACCGGCTTTGAGCCGGAGCAAAGTCTGTTGTTCGTGCGGAGGCAGCTCCGGGTGAAACCCGCCGTGTGCCTCCCCTGCGGGCAAACGCTGCGCTTTTTTTCCCTTCCCAGCGAGGCTGTGGCGTGTCTGTGGT